TTTCCTGCCAGAAGCTTTAAATCTTCCCCCTGAGAGTACAAAGCCAAGAAAGCATGGTTTATCTAAATGTCTTGGAAGCCACTTGTTATTCCTTAACTTCTCCTCTGTGTAATTCAAGAGAAAGAGAAAATTGATCATGCCTTTTGCCCAGGTGACACAAAATGATTATTGCCTAGAAATCAAATATAAATTTGTCTTCTAAATTAAAAAATACATAAGAGGAAGGATTTCAGAAAATCTAGATTGAGAAAGTTTTAAAATATTCTTGAGTATATGGATGCTAACGATTAACACCTGCTTTCCATTGCCTGGAAATAAAGGTGTTTTTTTCTCCACTATTACGTGTTTCAAGCCACAATCATCCCAAATTCTTGTCACTTATGTAATTCTAGGCAGAAAATAGATCTTTTCAGATTTTTGACACTGACATTATTCCATAAGTGCTTAGGTGTATTGTTAATTGTAGTCTTTTAAAACCAGAACTAAATGTGTAAATCCTTATAAATTGTCTAGTCCAACTTTCTCATATTGCATGTAAAGAACCTGAGACCCAGAGCAAAGACTAGAATCCTTAACTTCCCATTCAGTTTCCTTTTCCCTCATAACACCGTGCTGCCTTCCCCTCATATTATCACACGACCATGAGCTGAGTTGTTCAAAAACTATAGTTCTTGGGGCAGTCTTCTGCTGGTACATGAATGCCTTCTTTGCCTTCTCTGCCTAGAAGAGCTGCCAGTTTTATTGGAGAATAACTGGTTATATGTTCAAAAACTGAAAGCCTTCTGCCTAAAAAGCAGTTCATGATTTATTTCATCTGTGATTCTGGTGTTCCTATTGCCTTTGACTTAGAGCAGACAAACTTGGCTAACAATGTGCTCTAAATGTAGTGCCTGTGCTGGGATAACCTTTCCATTAATTTCTTCAAGTCCAGTTTCTCTTGGGCCCTACAATTGTGGGAGTGAGGCCCTTTCCCATTAGTGCTGCTGGTTACCTCCCAGGAGGTTTTAGTTCAGTCTGAAGGATATTTCAATATGAAAGGAATTAAACTAACAGGCCAGTTTCACAAACCTCCTCTTAGCTTATAATCCAAAATAATATCCAGAATGGTAGGTTGAATTTAACATTACCAAGCACATACTGGAGAATACGGATTACACTATACCGTGTGTTTTCTATCCTCCCTTTCAAGTGATGATGCTAAATTAAGGTAAGTTTTTTGTCCTCTGAACTTTTCATATAAGTAAGTAAATTCAGTTCCTAATTCATAGAGATGTCTTCTTTCTAAGTACAATAGACTCTTCACTTTAGCAGATTTGATATAGATTCATTTATTTGCAAGCAGCCCCAAAAGTCCAAAAATATAATAATTTTGACAAGGCACAAAGTTGGGATGCTGTGAGGCTGGAGACTTGACATGTGGGAAAAGTCGCTTGGTGAGTGTCTGTAGAGGGTGTGGTGTGTATGCAGTAGAGATTCCGCATTTCACACACAGTGGACTGCAAGGAGCTGGTTTGGGTCAACCTTTTCCCATCTATTTTTAAGAAGTGGTTGCTGTTGGGACAAGGGAACATCATGGGAGGTGGGGCTAGTCTGCTAGCTGTACCTTGTACCCTCAGCCCAGGAAAGGCTTCATGATTGGGCACAATGGGTTGGGAAGGAAAAGCACTAGGGTACATCCAGCCTCAGGTGACAGCAGAAAAGCATTCACAATTTGGGGGCTTAGTACAAATGTGCATCACCACAAAAGCCAGCAGTACACATTTCAACGTGGCTGTGATTTTTCTCAACTTCCTGGCCTTCATACATGAGCTGAAAATTTTCAGGTTGCTTGACTGTATTTTATAGAGAAAATTCTCTCTTATGGTGGTATCGAGCATTTGAAATTTACAAAGGCATTAGGACAGATATCTCAGGAATGTAAATGGTCAGAAAAGGTCTGCTTTCTGTGATTAACAAATATGATGAGTTCCATTGCTGACCTTGGTGCTTAAACCAGGGGGTTCCAACTAGTCCTAGAGCTCTGTCCTTCTGAAAGGTCCACTTCCATGTGACTAACAAACTGGATGTATACTTTGAGCCTTATTTAATTCACAGATAAGTTGACTTAACTCAGCATTTTTATTTCAATTAATGAAAACAGTCCTCTCTTCACCTCCAGATTGCTTACATTTTGCTGGTCTCCCCAAGTGACCATTAGTGGAGACCAATTAATGAAGGAATGAAATTTGCTGGTTTTTTTTTTTTTTTAATTTGCTTTCTTGGGACTGTGGTGTTCTGCAGAGCCACGCTTAACCACTTTTTCTAGTGAAGAGTCTACAGAATGATAACTAAATATGGATGGCCAAGAAGATTTTGTATCTACAGTGCGCTTTATATATTTTTGACACTGCTGTATTCTGTGTGAGCGAATGACCTGTAACTGGTTCCAATGTGACTGAGTGTTCTCAATGAATTCTAGTAGCAAAGTCAACTTAATTTTCTTAAGCCTTGTATTACTATCTGTCTCACATTTACCACTTTGATTCCAGTCTTTTAACTGTTCATAACAGGGCATACCAAGGGTTGGGATGAGAGCCTACTTCCTACCTCTAAAGGCACTTTCCTCATTATTTTGCCATATAACCTTGAAGTGCATGATAAGCTGTTTAAATGTCCATGACTTCTCCCAGAGCAACTAGCAAAGTATATGACATTGAATAGAGATTAGTGGAAAGGAAATTTTAGAGACTAAACAGAGGTGTAAACCTCGAGAAAACCTCTGTAGAGCACATACCATTTGAGTACAATGTATGTAAATGTATGTGAGAAGAGAGTTGCTATAAAGTCCTCTCTAAGTAGATTAGTTCAATATCTAATGGAAGTGAAAATCTTTACTCCTATTATCACTATAGTACTGAGTGAACTGTATACTGAGTTTTTCAAACAAGTACTTAAAGTAGAACTTTTAAATATAAAGCAAGGGCATAAGGACAAAGGTTTTGGTTTGTGTTTCTCTAAGTGTAGTTTACCATCTAAGGCTTTCTTTTTTAATTTAAAAAAAAGCTTCAAGGTATTGCCATTCCTTAGCATCCTTAATAATTATGGGTGATGAGTTTTTAACTCTTAATATTATATACCTGTATTACATTTATCTTAACTCTTACCCTAAGCAAAAGGGAAGGTATACACCTAAGGGATGTAATTATTTTGCATTTTTGGCCATGGGTGGGAAAGGGGTGGGTATCTACTTAAACAGTTTTTAAAAAAGAAAAAAGTCACAAATATTTTTCTACTCTTATATATGATTTTACTTTATACTAGTTTCTCTCTAGTAAGGCATGCCAGAAGCCCATGACACCATATCATGAGTTCATATGTATTGTACCTTTTATTGGTGGTTAAATCTCATCAGATGCTTGGCACTGCTGCCATGATTATGAAATGCTTGTAAAGGATTAAATATCACTGAATATTTTAAATTGTTTTACTTAAGAGTCTAATCTGGGAAGTTTTCAAATCATACTATTAATGTATAATCTAAGCTCTTTCAGATGTATCCACGAATAATCCTGGAACAATATTGCTTGTATTCCTGTCACAGAACAGGTTTTGTAATCTTTAAAAGAAATGAAAATTTATATAATAAAGTTTCAAATAAATGCATGTATGTCCTTTTATGAGATTATTTCACTTAGGTTTGTCCGTTAGATGCCAGCAGCATGGCCCTCCTTCCCCAGTTGTGACAACCAGAAGTATCTCCAGACACTGTCAACCATTCCTAGTAGAGAACCACTGTTTGACAATTGTACTTTATTTCTCTGTCACTTAGGAATGTCCACTTCCTTAGAAAATGTTAAAATGCTAACGTTTTCAGAAAAGTGATTTAAAATAAGCTTACTTAAAAGTGAAGCTCTTCTTCCTGCATAGTCAGCTGTATTAGTTTGCTGAAGCTACCAATAAAGTACCACAGACTGGGTGGCTTAAAAAACAAATTTATTTTCTTAACATTCTGGAGGCTACCAATCTGAGACCTAGGTGTTAGCAGTATTGGTTTCCTTTAAGGTCTCTCCTCTGGGCTTGTAGATAGCTACCTTCCTATTCATGCAGTGTTCCTTTCTGTGCTGTGTCCTAATCTCTGTTTATAAAGACTCCTAGTCATATTGGATCAGGGCCCACCTTAATGATTTCATTTCAATTTAATTACGTCTTTAAACATCCTGTCTCCAAAGTCACATCCTGAGGTATTGGGGGTTATGAGTTAAATATACAAATTTTGGGAGGATACAATTAAGCCCCTAATGCTGAGTTTGTCTTCTGCCCTCCCTTCCTGTGTGTACTGAGCACCTACTGTGTGCCAGACATTCTGCTAAACACTGGTAATAGTAAGCAACTGATTTGGTCTCTGCCAAATTAGGTTTACAGTGAGGTAGGGGACACATGTTTATAAAGAAATAAGTGTCACATAAATATTACTCTTTGGGACAAGTAATAAAACTGAGCTGTGAGATTAATGAACCCGCAGCTCAAACCTGAACACGCCAGTTTGCCACAAAACAGTAGAAGTCCGGGAGTTGGTGATGGACACAGATGCCTGGCGTGCTGCAGTCCCTGGAGTCGCAGAGTCGGACACGACTGAGCGACGGAACTGAACTGAGTAGAAGTCTGGCGCCAGGCAGCAGGGGGCGCTACCTGAGGGCGCCTGGGCCCCGCCCACTGCCTCGAGGATTCAACGTGCTCCCAGGCTCACGGCCCCGCCCCTGGCGCCAGGCAGCAGGGGGCGCTACCTGAGGGCGCCTGGGCCCCGCCTACTGCCTCGAGGATTCCACGTGCTCCCAGGCTCACGGCCCCGCCCCTGCCCCCAGGCTCCCGGCCCCGCCCCCGGGCTCAGGGCCACGGCCCCGCCCCCCGCGGGGCTCCGCCAACGGCCGTTAACATCCCGAGAGCGCGTCTGCCTATCTAACAATAGGAGCCAGCCGGCCACGCATGCGCCATAAGACGGAGGGGCGTGGCCTGCTGACGTTGGGAGGCGGAGATAACGGACGGCAGCAGTCGCGACGCCATTTGCGGCTGAGCTTCGGCGAAGGCGGTTCTCGGAAGGCGTCCGTCGCTAGACTCCCGCAGACGCGACCCGGTCTTTCGCAGCCGGTTCGTGTCACCCTATCTCACGCGTCTCCCTTCGAAGGAGTCGCCGCCGCCACCCGGAGAGAAGTCGGAGACGCCGCAAGTGCGTCGTCAGCGCCATGCCTAAGAATAAAGGTAGTGCCGCCTGAACCTCAGGACCACGACTCCCCTCTGCCCGGTCTCCCTTGCTCTGTCCGCGGTCTCCGAATGGCTTAGGCCGCAGTAACTTTAGTCTCCGGGCTGCCTTCACACAGCTAGACTATCCCGACGCGATTCTGGACTCGGGGGAGGAGCTGGGAAGTTACTTCAGGCTTCCAGTTTAGTCACATTGGGGTGGAGCCGACGCCATTTTTGAAGGGCCTCTTGCGGGAGAATGTGTGCTTCTGCTCGTAATTCGCGCCAGACAGACCCCGGCGCTATAGGGACCTGTGGGTAGACCTCCGTGTGGCCTGGGCTTCCCGCCTGGGCGCCTCTGGCCTTACTGGCAGTTAACTTCCACAGGGTGATGCCTGCTTTAAGGGGCCTTCAGTACCCCCGCATGGGATTCTTTATGGACAGTTGCTGGGTATTATTGAGACTCTTCCCTCTAACTGGTAAAGGGGGCTTGATAGCTTACTTCTTTTTACTGCTAAATAGTACTCATATGGAAATACCATAGTTTATCCGTTTATCTACTGAAGGACATTTTGGTTGCTTCCAAGTTCAGGCAGTTAGGACCTTAATTTTTTACTGGCTTGATGTATTCTACAGATCCAGTGTAATCTCAGAGTTGCCACAATTGTTTCTCTCCCTCTACTCCTACAAAAATCAGTGTGTTCCATTACAGTAGTGAGAACTCTTGCCAGGCCCCCCTCCGGCCCAGTTATCTTTTTGCACACAGATCTTTCATTTGGGAGAGCAGGTACAGAGAGACCTTATTTTATAAAATTATAAGCATTATAAACTTAAATTATAAGTTTTACAAGCATTAGTTTCTTTTTCTACTATTTTGCAGATAATGTTTTTTTCTTTAAAAACCATTAGGTAAAGGAGGTAAAAACAGACGCAGAGGCAAGAATGAGAATGAATCTGAAAAGAGAGAGCTGGTGTTCAAAGAAGATGGACAAGGTAAGCATTTAATAAGTTAGGTTTCTTTCAGTAATAGTTCTCTTTTGTAAATAAAGATATTCAATTTCTGTTCATAATCCTTAGCAAAAAAACGTGTTGTCCCTTTTTGCTCTTCTTGTTTTCTCATCCCCCACACTTCTCCAGAGCTTTTATTTTGGTAGTTATTTCTATTTCTTGTATACTCAGCCTTTGTTGAGGGTTGATGGCATTTCTGTAAATAGGTATGTTTCACTCTTTTATGTAAACACACGCAGAACTAAGAATGAATTGAACAGTTCAGAGGGAACTAAACTTCAAAAGCTGTATTGTTGACAATTCCATGACTTGGTTGGCTTTTTTTGATAGTGAATTGGTGCTACATAGTGTGTTCAATAGACCATGGGTATTAGAGGAATGAATCCAAAGCCTTTCCCTTACTTCTCCAGTTTTACTGGCATTTATCAATAATTTCTAAAATACAGTGAAATGAAACTGAACCATTGACTTGACCTTTTCAAACTGATTAAGATTTTTAAGTAATAACACTAGTTTCCCATGCTTTTATTTTGAGTAATTTCAAACTTTCAGAAAAGTTGGAGTTTAAGTACCATGAATTCCCTTAAACACTTCACATGTGCACGTGTGTGTGTGTCCATCCATCTTGAACCATTTGGAAGTTGGTTGCAGACATCATGGTACTTTCCCTTACTATGAATACTTTATCATGTGTCTTCTAAGAACAGGTCTATTCTCTCACATCACTAAGGTTATCAGTTCAGTTCAGCCGCTCAGTTGTGTCTGACTCTGCGACCCCATGGACTGCAGCATGTCAGGCTTTTAATTTCTTACCCTTGGTCATTTTTACCTCTTTTAGCAATTGACTTTATTTTGACTACTATTAGTTCTTTTTCGTGTTTCCCCCTCCCTCTTTGAAAGAGAGGCTACCTTTTAATTGACTAGCAATATTGAGGTGGTCGATGGGTGCGAGATTCACTGCAGTCTGAGTAACGCTGCCACTTTGCAACCATACAGGTGAACCTTTGAAAGTTAGGTTTCATTATATTTACAAACTGGTGGATATATTTACAAACACAACTTGAGTAAGCGACAAGTTCTGGAGTGACCCCATCCCCCACCTCCGATCTTCTGGGCGACAAGAGATGGCCCTTGTGCAAGCCAGTATATAATTTCAGTTTTTCAAGTGGCAGCAAAACAGGGTGGCTTCCTTGGTACCGTTTTGGAAAGATTTTGATTAAAACTTTGGCATTTGCCTGGGAATATCTTTCCAGCTTTACAAAAACCAAAATAATCACTAATTTAACAAAGACATTAATAACATTCAAGCTGTTTTTATTTGCTAGTGTTCCAAAGATTGTATTGTGACCAGTCTCTAAAGGCTAACCTTCCTCTGAGGGAAAGGAGATTGGTAACTGGGTGAGGATCCAAAGTGAGCAATTGATAAGGAACATTTTAGTGTGTATGTTTGGAGAAGCCACTTTGATCTACAGAAGTAGAGCAAACAGTGATGAAGACAGTGGTCAGTCTACTTAACTCACAGTGAGTAAGTAGGTAATTAAAATATTTCTAATAAAGTCAGCTTGTCATGGACATGGCATTGCACAGCTCTGATTCTGGCTCTGCTGTATACTAGGTTGGTGTTTATCACGCCCTTGTACTTACTTTACTGCAAATACTTATTCCTAACCAACAAACCTGTGTGTTCTAATGAACTTTATGTGGATTTTTTAAGTTGCCTTTATCAAAAATTGAGCAATATCCTGTACCCTTTTCTTTTCCCTCATCCAGAGTATGCCCAAGTAATCAAAATGTTGGGAAATGGACGATTGGAAGCGATGTGCTTCGATGGTGTTAAGAGATTGTGTCACATCAGAGGGAAGCTGAGAAAGAAGGTAATTGTGGAGACTTGTTTTACTTTAATATAAAATTATGGTTAAAGGGGGAGAAATGGCAGTAAGGTTTTTATGAGCCAGGGACCTTTTTTTAAGCATCATTTATGTTGTATTCCTGCCCAAGGTGGTTAACCTGAATTTTATTGTGAGAAAATAATTAACAAGTCCAAATTGCGGGACACATTGTAAAACAAATGATCTGACTGTAGATATTGGGTTGGCGTAAACAACTTAAGGAAAAACACAAACCAGCTTTTTGACCAATCCAATACATGCAATGTTACTGTCATGAAAGAAAAAAAAATGCTGGAATGGCTATTTCAATGTAAAGAAGATTAAAAAGACTCATTGGTTATGTGTAGTAAGTGGTCCTTATTTGGGTTCTGACTTGAGATTGGGGGAAATAATTGTAAGGTGTTAAGAAATTTGAATATGAATTAATGGTAAATAAGTGTTGTATTAATGTTAAATTTCCTGAATTGAAATCATGAATGGGCAGCCTTGGAAAGAAATGATTAATTTCCCATCAATGTAGCTGATCAGGCAGATTGATTTATTATTCATCAGGTTGGTTGGAAGTCCCTCCAGTCTTGACTTTATGATTAAAAAAAAAATAATTGGGTCATTAATGCTTCTGTTACCAAACTAAAGGGATCTTGTTTCCTGTGTGTATTTGAGTACACGACGGGGGGGAGGTAAAACCACATTTCTAATTTTACTATTCTCATATGTAATGGGTAACTAACCACTTGGAGTGCTTCAGTATTAGAAATCCCTTAATTCCTAAACTAATCGTTGGTCCTCTGGAATTATTAAACTGTCAAGTAGTTAAATAAGATTGTTATTTTTCTAATATCCCAAATGATAGAAACTTTAAAATGGCTCAGCTGCTTATTGTAGTTTTTTTTTCCTTAATTCTAAATGTACTCTACCCACAGTTGAAGTGAATCGTACGTATGTGTTGTAGGAAGACTGACTCAACATTGCTCTTGGTTGATTATTTTTATTTGAAATGTAACCTTCTCTGGCTTTTATAGGTCTGGATTAATACCTCAGACATTATATTGGTTGGTCTACGGGACTACCAGGTAAAAATATTATTAAAATTTTCATTGTTTACTTGCTTGAATTTGATTGAGCAACTGATGTTTAGAACATAAGTCATAACCAAATTTGACCAGTTACCAGGCCAGTAGGCTGCTCAGTATTGTGTCAATAAACATTTCTTAAGGGCCAGTTCTGTCATAGGCATTGTGCTGAGTACCCCAGGGATCATGGTTCCCCAGTGCCAGTCTATGGAATCTGCATTTTCACTATAGAAGAATCACAGTGTGAATTTTTCATGAAGCTAAATACTCCTTTTTCTCTTTTGGATATTTAGAAGTTCCCTTTTTGGAATGAAGGATACTATACTGTAGTTTTGTTAGTATTTTTAGTTGGCAGGATAAAAATGTAATTTTATGTTAGATTGCCTGCCTGCCCCAAGTTTTTAAATTTATACATATTGAAATAAAAATATGAAAAACATTACTGTAGGAGATACAACTGAGTGAGTCAGGCTGCCATCTCACAAAATGCTTATGGCCTGATAGTGGAGAGAATAAGAGGCACACAAGTGATTACAAGGCAAATCATGATAAAAGTGTGTGTGCTCAGTCACTCAGTCATATCCAACTCTTGTGCTTTAAATTTAGATGGGAACTTAGGGAAGAAAATGGTAGTTGCCCTTGAGTGATCTCTATCTGGAGACACTACCCATGGTTTCCACTTATTGGAACTCATCACCATGTATATATTTACGTTTTGAGTGATATTGTTTCTATTTTTAAAACTCTGATCATACTCTGATTTTTTTAAATGTTTGTTCCAGAATTAAAATTACTACTTTAAATCAATGGTTCTCCACTGTGGGTGACTTTTCCTCCAGGAGACATTTGGCAGTGTCTGGAGACATGACTGGTTTGCACACACGGGGGTAAGGGGCAGTGCTGCTGGCATCTAATTGATAGAAACCAGGGGTGATGCTGAACATCCTAAAATGCACAGATTGGTCCCTACAGCAAAGAATTATATGGCCAAAAACATAAACAGTGCTGACATTGAGATAGCGTGCTCTAAACTCATATTACTTTAATGTCCATTTTCTTCTTTTGATCTTAAAGAGAACCTCAGAAGTAGAAAGAATTAATTCCCTGTTTGACAGAGAAGTCAAGGTTCTGAAAGATGTAACATTCATGCATGTGTGCTAGCATGCTGAGTTGCTTCAGTTGTGTCTGACTGTGACCCCAGGGACTGTAATCCACCAGGCTCCTTTGTCCATGAGCTTCTCTAGGCAGGAATACTGGAGTGGGTTGCCATGCCCTCCTCTGGGGATCAAACCCGAGTGTCTTTAAGTCCCCTGCATTGGCAGGTGGGTCCTTTACCACTAGTGCCACCTGGTAGCATTCATACTGATACTCTAAAATGACAGCCACAATAAATGTTCTGGTTCTTAATTTCCCATGATCCTCCTTTTATGCCCCTGCCACTGAGAGGGTGGTACAGGGGCCAGTAGCATCACTAGCTTTCAGTTACTTGTTAGAAATGCAGAATCTTGGACCCCACCCCAGGCCACCTCAATCAGAATGTGTGCTTTAACCAGAATCCCCTTGGACTTCTGTACATACTGCTTTTTGAGAAGTGCTGGTCCTGAATCACACCATTCTTGGATCACTGATCACTTTGCTGCCTTTCTTTGGACCTGCTTTCAGGTCCAAAAATTTTTTTGAAGTTGAAACAATCAGCTTCAACCTGTTTTTCTTCCTTAATTAAGTCAGATTCTTTTCAGATGGAGAAGTGTGAATGTTATGAAGCATTCATTTTCAGTGGGACACTTGCATCAGAAATAGCCATGTATTTTACAAATACACTCTCATGGGCTTCATTCCACGACTCCTAATTTATCAGGAGATATAAAAGCTCCACCCAGGTAGCATTAGTGGTAAAGAATCTGCTTGCCAAGACATGGGTTAGATCTCTGGATTGGGAAGATCGCCTGGAGGAGGAAATGGCAACCGACTCCAGTATTCTTGACTAGAGAGTTCCATGACAGGGGAGCCTGGTGGGCTACAGTCCATGGGATCACAAAGAGTCAGAAGCAACTGAGCATAGACATAAAAGCTCCACAAGAGATTCTCATGGATTTGTATACTAAGAACCGCTGATTATGGAAAGGTATAATAATTCCCTTAGGTCATTATCCCAGTCTCAATTTTTGAATTAGTGTTTAATTACCTATAAATTATGGTCCCAGTGAATTTTTACTTTTCAAAAGACTTCTAATCAGAGGGTACCTAAATAATCTAAGAAATTGTGTCTGCACAGTTCTGCTTCTTTTGAAGTGAAATCTATAAATGTCTTCCCTAAGCTTGTTGATCATTATTCACACGTGTGCAAGATTCTTCAGACTGACTTAAACCCAAGGATGTTTTTCAGAGGGTAGGAGAAAGCTTTAAAATTTTAGAAAAAAAAAGAGTTTAATAGCACAACAGTGAGATTTTATTTTTTTATCCAGTTTGCAACTAATTTATGAAATTAATGGATAGTATTTTGGCATAATTATTTGTAAACATTATGTGTCTCTTTTTAAGGATAATAAAGCTGATGTGATTCTAAAATACAATGCAGATGAGGCTAGAAGTCTGAAGGCGTATGGCGAGCTTCCAGAACATGGTAATGTCTGAGTTATTATATTAACCTGTTAATATGCTGTTAATCCTTGATGATTTAGATGAAGGAATTTTGATAGAATTTTTGGATTTTGTATCTTTTGTCTTTATGTGATTCATTCCAAGTATGCCTACTTTCACTTCATATTACTAGACACCTTAAGAAGAAAGTAACTGAGACTGTTTCTAGTAACTATACTTTTGGTGAGGATTTATCCTTTTTGAGCCCTGGACTATATTTTGGTTGTTGCATATTACCAAGAAAACTGTAACTTTACTTAAATGTAAAAATCCTGCTGTAATTATTTACTTCACATTTCCAGTCTAGGAAGTACTAATGTATCTGGGAATAGGACTAGGACTTCCTGGTTCATTTCCGTTATTAAGGGATAAGCATGATATAACCAAATTTTTCTGATTGATGTGTTTGATAATTTCTGGGTTAACATGTGCTACCTTTTTTGAAGTGTAGCTGGAAGTTGTAATAGTTTAGAGTTTGTTTAATTGGAGCCAGCCTCACCAAAAATAGCTTTGTGAACAAAAGAAAACTATTTCCATTTTGACTTAGAGATGTTGTTGTGTGAAATAGTGTTCTATATACTAGGGTTGTTAGGTAGACGTTACGAGGATAGTTTTGATAATGAAACAGATTAAATTAAAAGTTTGACTTGTATAGTTCAAAGTTTGATACCCAACTACTGCTTTCAGTGGGCAATTTAATTCATTTTTGCTAGCATCTTGGCTATATTATATGGCTATATTTGTTATTGTTTCTTAAGCTAAAATCAATGAAACTGATACATTCGGTCCTGGAGATGATGACGAAATCCAGTTTGATGACATCGGAGATGATGATGAAGACATTGATGATGTAAGTTGATGCACCTTGTGTTTCTCAACTTTCATTTGTGCTAGTCAAATTGTTTGTGCTTTGGAGAATTTTATAATCTTTTTCAATACTTCTTCCTGAAAAGATCAGTATTTGCTTTGGCAGTATGGATGCTAGGCATTGGAATCTTGTTTAAATTAAGAGTATCTAGAGAGAGAGTTGTGAGAAATAAGATTTTATCAAAGAAACGGGCCTTTTCTTTTATTAATTGAGATATAGTTGATGTACAATATTATAAGTTACAAATGTACAATATACAGATTCACAATTTTGAAAGGTTATAGTCTGTTTATAGTTAATATAAATATCTATATTCCCTCTGTTGTACAAACATGCCTTCTCTTAATTGAAACTAGTATATTAGAAGAATAATCTTGTTTGAACCAGTTTGGTATGAAGCATTGGAATTACAACATAACATTAAAAGCCCTGTTAAAGGGACTCCCTGGATTGCCAGTGGTTAGGACTCTGTGCTTTCACTGCTGACAGCCTGGGTTTGACCCCTGGTCAGGGAGCTAAGATCCCACAAGCTTTGTGGCACAGCCCCCCACCGCCACCCCCACACACACACCCCCGCCCCCCCAACTGCAAAAAAAAGCAAAGACTGGTCTTGAGGAAGACTGAGTTAAGTGATACCTACCACCAAGATTCTATAATTAACATATTTCTATACTTGGTTTATTACATTTCTGTCTATATCTTTATTCATCTGTCAGTCCATCTTACATATTTTGATGTATCTCCAAACCATTTAGAATGCACCATGACTTAAAATTTGAGCACATATCCCCAGTCTGTTTTTACAGTTACGGATTTTTAAACATACAGTACTGTATTTTATTTTATTTTTTTCTTTTATTTATTTTTAGTAGTTGGAGGCTAATTACTTTACAATATTGTAGTGGTTTTTGCCATACATTGATATGAATCAGCTGTGGATTTACATGTATTCCCCATCCCGATCCTCCCTCCCCATCCCATCCCTCTGGGTCTTCCCAGTGCACCAGCCCTGAGCACTTGTCTTATGCATCCATCCTGGGCTGGTGATCTGTTTCACCCTTGATAGTATGCTTGTTTCAATGCTATTCTCTCAGAACATTCCACCCTTGCCTTCTCCCACAGAGTCCCAAAGTCTGTTCTAAACATACAGTACTGTATTTTAAAGCATACCCTAAAATAGAAAATTAATAAGGGTTAAGAAATCATCATTCTATTTTTAATGTTACCTCCCTTTAGAGACCCTGAGCCAGGGGATTCCTGTGACTAAACTGTTAGATACTTGGACAATAGATTTATTGATGATATTCTGCAACAGTAACCTGGCATGGAGTTGTTGTGTTAAGGAGTGATCCCAAGAGTCTGACAGATGGGGTAGAAGACACTTTTTAGGAACTTTAAGAACCTAATCAGAGAACATGACCGAGTCTGAAGTCACATACTCAGAGGTGATAGGGTGAGGATCTAGATATAGGGTAAAGCTTTTCTAAGAAAAATATTTTTTAAATTTGTGCTAGTTCTTCCTCAGAACTGGGATAATAAAGACAGTAGTTATTAAAGTAATTTGAGTTGGCTTGTACATTTTCTAAGTGTTGCTTTATCAGCGGAGAACACTACTTCTTTCCCAAGATGTTTCTCCAAATGGTTTCTGTGTGTTCTTGCCTTCACCTCTATAACCAGGTTGACTGGTAGGAGAATTTGGTATCACATTTGGCCCTTTCTTAAGGAAGTAACACTCCTTGTGTCTGCTCCCACCCCCAAGATAAATTTCTAGTCACTAGGATGAAGGGAAGTAGACAGTAATCTTTATAGATAATATTCTGCATTACATATAGCATTCTGAAGGAATTTGTTAAAGATTCACTGGCAGCAGACCAGAATTGAGAAAATCCTAGTGTACAGAATTTCCTCTTCAAACTGAATTTGTTTCCCAGATAGTCTAAAGAGGATGCATGTGCCCCTTACATGAAGTAGACTGTTGGAATATAAAAATTCTTTGGTTTGACTTTTTTTCTTCCAGATCTAAAGCGGCGAACTCAGCCTTGCACATTCCAGTTTTCTCTGAAGATTGTTCAACAGTTTGGATTTTGACTGTGACTTGTTAAATAAAAGTTCATGAGCATTGCAATTTGCTAGAGCAGACTGATTTCTTTCTAAGGTATTTCTTTAAAAACTGGTAATGCTGAATTCTAAGTGAAATTTTAAGGCCACTTTGTTATTTTGGTATAATGGAGCTTTCAAAAAGGAAAAAAATGCATTACTGCCTTTCCCACTTCAACCACGTCCGGTAATAAGTAAATGGATGTTTCGAATAAACCACTTGCCGTACACTCATTATAAACTATAATTAAGCCCTAGTTTTGACTTACCTGTTGACTGTACAGTGAATTTTTATATATTCCAGTTACCTAGTTCCCTTAAGATTTTGGTACAATTTAAGGGAAGCAGAAATCTTCATTTGAAGTCAAAAATGATTGTTCTGTTTTTCATATTTAAGTAGCATTTGGCTATTTTTATACTAACTTTGGTATCATATACTTTTTTTTCATGATCTTATTTTGCCACTGTAAGCCTGTCAACAAAAAAGGCATTTCCAAAGTGCAGTTTTTAGAACCTGGGTTTTAATAGCAATTTTGAATTTGTAGAGTTAGTAGTTGCAGAAATCAAACACTAGGTGGTACCCGGTTATCTTAACATTGGAGACATTGATATAGTTATCAACTTTCTTTTTCTTGTTCATGGATGATTTCCCAAACAACAAAAGACTGTGATCACATGCTATGTAGAATATTTTTGCAAAACAAAAAGATAATGTTCAAAAAGTCTTATTTTCAGAAGTCATATATGTGTAAGCTGGAATTTTAAGCGCTTTATAAACACTTATATGTAAATGAAAATTTAATTTCATAACTGCTTGTACAAATTAAGCCTTTTGGAAAGTATCTCTAAGCTGGGAAAAGAGGAAGGCCTAACAATGAAATGAAAAGATGGTCTCCAGCTTCTGAATGGAAGAGCTGCATACAAGGGAGAAATATAATAAAGTCAGTATTGTGCTGTAGAGAATATTAAACCCTTACTTTGTGTTTAGGATGTTATTTTATTATGTGTACAGGTGTTTTTGCTTGTATTTTATTGACAATTTAGATTTACCCTGTGTTACTTAGTTTTCCATTATCACTTCTAGTAAGATGAAATTAAGGGCAGGACCTAGACCTCACTAGCTACATAGAAATCATATAAAGGAAGTCCTTTTATACTACAAAAAAAAGTCCTTCTTGTAGGTTTCAACACTTGTAAGGAACCAGTTTTGAAAAATTTGACTTCGTGATCGTCATCATCAGTAATCTAAACCTGCTAAGATATTTAGGCTTCTGTACATAAAAGTGCTTTGCTAAATTTGTGCCATATGTAGATCTTTCCTTCACATTATTGTACCAAGAATGTTTTGACCCTGCATCTGTGCTACAGTCATGGTAGGGGTGGTGCAACACCAACATTGGTTTTTCTACTTAACTTCCTCTAACAAATGGTCTGTCTAAAGATTCTTTTCACATTACAAACATGACACTAATTCTTGTGTTCGCAAGTGACTTTTTCTTGCCTAGGTAGTAACAGTCCCATCTGGTGCTGTTGCACTCTAGAAGATCTCAAATCACGTTTATTAAAATAGTTGGGGTAAACTCATAGTTGATATGCAACACTACTTGGAGGAATTATTTTACTTGATTGTCTTTAATGTAAAAATTGGTTTCACTGATTGGATTATATTTCACATGATTTGGAATGGAAGTGGTCGTTAAGAAAAAAAATTTTTTGTTATGCTGTTTGATTCCTCTAACACAGTGCTATAAGGTGTGCCCTGAAAGAAAATAAAGTGTTTGAAATCCAAGAATAATGATTCTTACTGCAGAGGGTGTAATAGTTATCACTTGAGTTTGACAGGCTTGTGTTTTTCTACACTGAAGTCTTATTACTAAGGTGGTTAACCATACCAAATGTTTTGTGTAAAAAAAAAAAGACTTGCCAAGAATTAATTGTTGAATCTTTCTTGAACATCCAGCTTCTCAAAAAGACCACCTCTTAAGGAGCCTATAAACTGCATGATGAAAATTCTTGTACTCACCACATCCATGGAATTGTGGCTATAAACATAGTTGCTTACAAAACTCATAGTGACTTACAGCTTAACATAATCTCATCTCTCCTGTAAATATAAAATACAGGCTGTTGCATAACAACTTTTAATAGATACAAACTGCTATAAGTACTGACTTCAGAGCAAGTGAGAAATCAAATAGATGAAAGCATGTTTCAAATAAAATACCTAGCTGGATTTATACTTTATTGCATACAGATTTAACAACATCCAGTATTGTGTGGCTTGACAGTGAAATGAAAATTAAGTTCTTTATATTCCCTGACAATCATAAAGATTAAATTTAAAAGATTTGTTTTGGTATGAGATGTTTAGATCTCTATATCCTGCTTATTACTAAGGGGAAGTTTCATTTATACAGTTTGGACTCCCATGAACTTTTGCATACCACTTGGTATATTTTTATTTACCTTAAAGTAGCATTCTTGCATTTTTCTTCCTGTCTAGAACAAAATCTGAATTAAGTCTTACTAGTAAGTGTGATAAGACACTCTTAGGAATTTGGAGAGTGTGTTGGACTGTATCTTCTCTTCCTCTGCAGCCGCCTTGTGCTTAGGAGGCCTTGTGATAAGTGAAGAGCCTGTGCCCCAGCCCCCACTTTGCCCTTTACCTGCAGGTGACCCCACATACCTTCAGCTTGTCTGAGCTTCTGGGCCCTCCCTCTGTAAGATGAGAGATAACAGTACCTGCAGAATCAGCATTATTGGGAGGATTAATAACGTATTCCTATGTGTGATGCACTTAGAGCAGTGTCTGCCACTATTCACTTGATATCTAGGACTGTATAAGGTATAACATGCATGCCTTTTATATTCTCAATTTATCATTTCTTTTTACTTGCAGTCTTTTGGTTCCTATAATAAAAGAAGTGTGTAGAATACATTTGTATATGTCAACACAGTATTTAAAATAATTGCTACCACCCTCATTTAATTCAGCATAAGACTAACAGATGGAATTTTCTAAATTGCCTAAAGAAAGATATTTTGCAAAATACTAACTTGCTCTATATTTCTTTAGAGAAAGTTTAGTAATGTTGATAAGCTCTGGTCATGTTTCATTCTTAAGTCTTAAATCAGTCTCTTACTGTAGATTCATGACAGCTAATTAGTACTAATTTGGAGGTTTCTTTTCCCACTGTTTGGAATTATGATTCCCATTGTCTGGAATCAGATGCAAACTATTGCAATTAGAAATAAAATATGAAATAACTTTCAATGTCATATGAAGTTGTTTTTAAACTATGATGTTTTAAACTAAACTATTCATGATCATTCTTTTTTTTTAACATGATCATTAAAATTTCGATTTAAAAAAATCTGTGATGTATGAGGGAAATATATACATTACCTGTTTTTTTTATTTCTGTGTTTTTGGTTGTTTGAATGAATCCATTTGGTCAGACTCCAGATACAGGATTTTCTGGGCAAGTGAATTTGTTACAAACCTCTACTGAAGACATTTTCTAACCTTAGGTTAGTTGTCCAGAATCATCTCAAATTCCCAGAATCCCATTCACTGGACCTTATTTTATAGGTCCAGTGACATAGGTGCAGAGACATAGGTGAAGTAGATATTTATTCTCTGGTCAACATTCTCAGTTTTATAAAGCCAGTCTTTTCTGTTGCAATCTAGGCTTTGTTTGGTTCACAACCTGATGGAAGATCAAAAAGTGAAGACAAAATCTGAGTAAGGTCTCATTGCTGATTTGATCCACCAGACTCAGATATAGAATTAGTTGACTTTTTGCAAATTCGATAAAGTTTAGTACATATTTATGTTTTAAATATCTCATAGAAATCTGAGAAGAATCGAGACTTTATTAACTTGACAGTTTACCTTCCAAAAGCAAATGTAGAAACTGACAATTTTCTTTTAAAAAGCAAGTTTAAAAGTGTCTCTAATGTGCAGTAAAATGATTAATCTTGTTAAATTCCATCCTTGAGTACGCATCTTTTTTTTTTTCCATTTATTTTTATTACTTGGAGGACAATGGGCTGCTTTTCTGGGCGCCTGATGTCCTCTGCTAGCGATCAGAAGTTGTTTTGTGAAATTTTCTCAGCGTTCAAATGTTCTTTCGATGAATTTGTAGGAGAGAAAGTGGTCTCTCCGTCCTATTCCTCCGCCATCTTGGCTCCTCCCTCAGTACGCATCTTTTTAATAGTTAATTGGTAAGTGTGCTGTGAAGTACAATAGTTGTCTCAGGGAAAAACTGTGGTTATTGAGTTGCAAACTGAACTAGCCATCATTTTTCATGGAATACCATTTTTACTTGAACAACTAACAAACTGGTTATTGAAACTTGGGTTCATGGTCAGCATTTTCTCGAAAATGAAAGAAATGACCCTGTCACTTCAAGGAAAACACAGCATTTGTTGGAGGTGATAAAATTTGAGTTTTAAGTGAAAAAGTTGGGGAAAATTGATAACTGCCACCATTAGCTTGACAGCTTCACAGTAAAGAGGTCAGTGGTGGTAGTAATGGATGTGACTTTAATATTATAGAATGAAATGTGTTGACATTTGGAAGATTGTAGCAGAGTCAAGCAGTATTTTCTAAATGATTGTACTTTACTAGTATGAAAAATCGGTGTCAGATTCTGCATTGCAACTAACTTGAAGTTACCATTTGTCAAGATTGGGTGTAGTATCAAGAACATAATTACCTGGAAAGCATTAAACTATTTCTCTCTTTTCCAAGGACATAGAGGCTAGATTTTCTTCGTGTGTTTTAACAACCTACTGTAATACATTGAATACAAAAGCAGATATGAGACTCAATTTTCAGTTAAGCCGGACAATAAAGAGATGTTATTTATGTTAAAATTTAGGTTTATTGTTAAAAGGAACAAATCTAAAATTTTTCTAACATAAGTATTCCCCCAAGTGAACTTACTTCAAAGAAAACTGACAGTGTTGTAATATTAACACGGGCGCTTTCAGGTAAAAACAGTTTTGGAAAATATCCACCAGCATCAGCAGATAGAGAAGTTCTTTGGGATTCTTAATTTTAGGTATAAAGTAGGAATTAGTCAGGTTTTACTAAAGGACCAAAAAAAAATTTTTAAGTTTTGTAAACTCTATGATCTGTGTTACAACTAAGCTCTGCAGGTGTTTCACAAAAGCAGCCTGAGACAAGATGTAAAAAAATAACAGTGGTTATATTCCAGTAAAACTTTATTAAAAGTAAAAGTGGGCTACATTTGGCCCATGGGCTGTAGTTTGCCAACCCCTACTGTAAAGGGGCTCTGAGGCAAAAAAAAAAAAAAAAAATTGAGAACTGCTAACATACTAGGTGGTTTAACTGCTAACATTAGGCTAACATACTAAGTGGTTTAACAGATTTCAAGGTGTTCGAGGAATTCCCTGGTGGTCCAATGGTTAAGACTCCATCCTTCCACTGTAAGAAGAAGAAGAAGAAAAAAAAAAACAGCTCCGGTGCCCTAATTAACTTGTTTTAATCTTATTGGGTTAGGAACACTTTTCATTACAGCCAAGGGACCAGCCCCAGCTTGCCCACTTTCCTGCCCATTTTTATCTAAACTCCTGGCTATCACCATAGTTGCACCCTACACCCAGCACACCTTTGGGAATGTTAGGAAAACGTTCATCACATTTTTGTGCCAACAGAGGGACTCTCCAAGCTTATCACTAAGAACCCAGCTGTAAGTTACTGAGAGTTTCAACTTGTCAGGGTTTTGTGTTTTGTATAATTGACATACTATAAACTACACCCATTTAAAATGTACAGAGGTTTTTTGTACACTTAAAAGAGTCAACCATCACCATAATGTAATTGTAGAACGTTTTCATCATCATCACATACCCCCCCCCCATTCCACCCCACTCCCATTCAGGTCTGTTGCTCTTTTTTAAATCATGCATTTTTTCGCCGAGGGGTGGAAGTTAAAATCTGGGGGCTGGTCACCATCCAGCAGAGAACGCTGCAGCAGAGATGTTCTTACAGAGATTTGTCTAGTAGTACTAGTGTTTGTTAGTCGCTCTGCTGCTGCTGCTGCTGCTAAGTCGCTTCAGTCGTGTCTGACTCTCTGCGACCCCATAGACGGCAGCCCACCAGGCTCCCCCATCCCTGGGATTCTCCAGGCAAGAACACTGGAGTGGGTTGCCATGTCCTTCTCCAATGCATGAAAGTGAAAAGTGAAAGTAAGGTCGCTCAGTGGTGTCCGACTCTTAGCGACCCCATGGACTGCAGCCTACCAAGCTCCTCTGATCATAGGATTTTCCAGGCAAGAGTACCGGAGTGGGGTGCCATTGCCTGCTCCTAGGATTAGTTTAGAGAATGACAAATAGACAAGGAATATTTGGAACAGAGAACATTGGGACAGACGCAGGCATACACAAAAACTTGTCTGAACTGGCATTATAGACCAGTGGGAGAAAAAAGAATAAAATACTGTAATAATTATCTGTCAGGAAAGTAAGGGCCTCCCAGATGGCACTAGTGGTAAAGAACACACCTGCCGATGCAGGAGACATAAGAGACGTGAGTTCGAACCCTAGGTTGGGAAGATCCCCTGGAGGAGGGCATGACAACCCACTCCAGGATTCTTGCCTGGAGAATCCCATGGACAGAGGAGCTTGGGGGACTACAGTCCATAGGATTACAGAGTCGGATATGATGAAGTGACTTACCACTCAGGCAGGAAAGTCAAATTAGGTTTCTTACCTAATGTGCAGACAAAATTAGCTCCAGATGGATAAAATACATATTTAGGAAAAGCAAATATTAAAACTGCTGGAAGAAAATACAGAATGTCTTTACAAATAAGTTTTCTTCGTCTTCTATAGTAATAGAATTTTCAAATGGGCACACAGTTGCCTGAAATAAAGACATTTTCTACCTTTCTTTGCAGGCAGGGTCATCTTGTGATGAAAGTTTTGGCCAATGAGATGTAAGTAGAAATGTCCATAAAACAGTTTCTGAGAACTCCCCTTTTTCTCTTCCTTTTTACCTTTCTATCTGGGATATAAGCTCTGTAAAGTATCATGAGGGTGGAGCAAAAAACTAGAAGGAGTCTAGATCTCTCAGGACTTCACGGAACAGAGCTTCTTTACTTACTGCAGATTGCCTACCTCAGCATGCTTACAGGAGAGGGAAAAATAGGATCTGTCTTGTTTAAGTCATTGCTATTTTAGGTCTCTGCTCCTCACAGGCAAACCATCTACGATGACACATCTCTCTTTATTTCAGAAAGTTTACAAGAGAAAAACAGAATACATAGGAATAATACTAAAGGAACATCCACTTTTAATAGAACAAATAGGAAGGGAGAAGAAAAGAAGCTATACATGCGAGAAGGGTCACATGCTATGAAATACAAGTGAGGACTGAAAACAAATTATATCCCCGGACTTGTCTAGATGAGAAGGAGGTCACTGGTGACTTTAGAGGACTGTTTCCAAAGAATTACTAAGAAGTCAGTGAAGCAACACAACACTCAAGGGATTATTGCCACTTGCAGGTTACTTGGAGGCCTTCCAGCTCCACACAAAATCGGCATATAAACATGTTCGGTGTTTCTGGGCTATGGGTGTAACTAGGTTTACCTGAATAGCCCTTACTCTGGGTAATTTCCTGGTCTCTTTTCTGTAATCGTGACACACCCAATAGGAACANTTTAGATCTTTAATCCATTTTGAGTTTATTTTTGTGTATGGTGTTAGAAAGTGTTCTAGTTTCATTCTTTTACAGGTGGTTGGCCAGTTTTCCCAGCACCACTTGTTAAAGAGGTTGTCTTTTTTCCATTGTGTATCCTTCATGCAGTGTGTTCTTTCACGCTGTGAAGACCAGTGTACACCTCGAACGTGTACGCAGTGTGTGGGAGCTCTGTGAGAACCAGTGTGCACATTGCATGTGCATGCCATGTAGGCGTGATGCGTGAGAGTGGCTGTGCATATTGCTAAGTGCATGAGGTACGCGCCTGCTGCGTGAGGACCCGTGTGCACCTCGTGTGTGGACGCGGTACGCATGCGCAGCTTGAGAACCGGTGCGCACATCGCACATGCACGTCGTAGGGGGCACGCGCGCGGGTTCCAGAGCGCGGCGGCAGGGGCAGTGCGCCTGTGCAGCCTCGGCATCCCGATGGAGCACAGCGTCGGCTGCGCGGCGGCAGCCGGGACGGAGGGGGCTACGCGGGCCCCTTCGCTTCCTGGGAAGATGGCCGAACCGGGCGCGGTGAGGATCTCACCGCCCAACCACCGGCCTTCAGGTAGGGGGTTCTCGGGCTGAGGCGGGCACGTGGGCGCCTCAGGCCCCCGAGGGGGGCGGGGCGAGCCCGCCGGCAGAGGCTGTGGAGAGCACGGTGTGGGAGGCGGGGCGCGGAGCGGGGCTCACATCCTCTGCTCTGCCCGGAGTCGTCTGGGCGCGGGGTCCCAGGGCCGCGCCCCTCACAGCGCCGCTGACAGGGGACACCCCCTCTCAGGTGACCTGAGTGAGTGGGTGCCATTGGGGGGTGGCTCAGGGTGGGTGACAGGTGTGCTTGGTTTGAGGGGTGGAGGCAGAGGCCATGCGTGATGCCCTAGGGGCCCCGAGTGTCTGGCCCAGTCTCCTGGAGCAGCCGGCATGGGGGGCACCGGGCTCGGCCGAGCCGGCGCCGGGGGTCGCCGGGGCCTGCGCGCCCGCCCACTCTGCGTCTCGGGCGTCGAGCGCGAGCGGCAGCCCAGCTTGGTGCTTCGCGGCGTCCCCGGGGGGCCGAACCCGCGCGTCACCCGCCGGCGGAGCAGCCAGGTGCGAGCCCCCAGCCCGGTTCCCCTGCCGCCCGCTCGCGCTCACGGAGGCCGCGGGTACACTGCCCCGGGGTCTGACGGGGCCGCGCGGCGGATGAGCTCCCGGCCCTCGGGGCTGCAGCTGCTGGGAGCTGAGGAGGCACGGTCCCCGTATTGGCTGCCCACAAACGAGCGAAGCGGGCAGAGATTTTGAGGACATTTGACGGAATTTTCGATAAGCTAGTCTCGCGTCTTTTAACGTTCTGTAAAGTGGTTGCAGGTAGTGCGGAGGTGTAAGCGACGTGGAAACCGATTTCTTGTTTTTCCTGACAACATCTTTTTTTTTTTCAAGTTAATGGGAGCTATTTTTAAGACGTGTTTTTACCGCAGTATAGCATGCTTCCCACAAAAACGCACCGATCTTAAGTAGAGGATTTGGAGATTTATCACATCGTGAATATCTGCGTGTTTTATGTAAGGTGTACCAAGGAAGGGAAGGAAATCAAGGGAAATGTTATTGAATCACTTAAAACAAGATTTTCATGGGGGAAGTGGTATTTTTGGGGGGGGCCTTCATTTGTATCATTTAGAGAAGGAGGGGGTGGCTTGAATCTTTCCCGGTTTGCGTTTTTCATCATGCATATTTTGAAAGGCAGAATTTAACAATTATCACAGGATTGTGATATAAATACTATAAACACGTACTTCTGTTTTCGTCTTTTTTGCTTGAGAAACTCGGTCGCATCTGCTAGAAAAGAACCCAAAACCTACCCATCCGTTAGAACCAGGTTGGGGGAGGGGAACCTAATAGAATAAAACATTGGGAAAGGAAGGTTGTTAAAATTCACATTTTAATTCCGCCGAGAGTTTAAATAACTAGGTAGTTTTGATGTTGTAGAGTCAAGGTGGAGCTGTATGGTTGGGCCTGAAATTTATCTGTGGTATTTTATTTTATTTGAAGGCACTTAATCAGAGAAATCCCATGGACAGAGGAGCCTAGCGGGCTACAGTCCATGGAGTCGCAAAGAGTCGGACACGACCTCGCGACTAAACAACAACAACAAATAAGGGTACCATTCTTATTAAGTTCTAGTTGAAAACTTTTATTGTAAAAAATAGCTTAAAGTTATATTCATTCATTTGACAACAGAAATACCGAAAGACACGTTCTGTGAAGGTTTAAAATATTTCAGGGACTTCCCAGGCGGTCCAGAGTTTAAGACTCCTCCCTTCCATTGCAGAGGGGAGGAGTTTGATCCCTGGTCAGGGAACTAAGATCCTGCAAGCCACCCGATGCGGCCCCAAACAAAAGATTTTTAAAAAGATAAAATATTTAATAAACTTCCATGTACATTAGGGTTGGTGTGGAAAAATTGGAGTATTCAATTTAGGTGTCAGGTAGTAGAAGTGTTTGCTCTTTTTTTTTTTAATTTTTTTTCCATTTATCTTTATTAGTTGGAGGCTAATTACTTTACAACATTGCAGTGGTTTTTGTCATTAAAGAAGGTTTTGTGAGGCTAGGTATTTTGAAAAACAATGTCATCCTCAGAGGAGTCTTGATGATTGAGGTTTTTATGATTATCCATCCTGATAGTGATTATTCTTGGCCATCCAAGGCTTTTGGGGACCTGTTCCTGAAGAGATTCAACCTGCATTTCTTGAGGGTCAACCATTGTTCCTAAGTTTGTGCTGAGTGCTTTGAGGGCCAGAAAAGACAAATTCCAGAGATGTTTAGGCTCTCAGACAATTTCATAGTGGGGGGGTATGGGCCAGCAAGTGGTTTTCCTGGGAGAAGGTCTCATGGGAATACCTTTCTGGTTGTTTCCTTTAGCAGCAGGTTCTTCTGATATTGAAATCCTGTGCATTTTTCCCTATTATCCCCCAGTGATGCTTTCTTTCTTTCCCTTTACCTACACCCTTGGATGGAAATTACCAGAGTACTGTTCTCTTTAGTGCTTTTGTTATGTGCATGATATAAGGAATGAGGTGCAAGCACCTGTTGCTTGAATCTGCTTAAGTACCTTTAGAAGGCAGAAGAGGACTGTCACCAGAGTCTGTCAGACTGCCTTGGTGTCACACAGGTCCTCTGCTCCCCTCAGTCTGAAATGCGCCCTTCTCCACTTCTCCCGTTGGCATTCACTTCCTCTAGGCCCCTCACAGTCTGAATTAAGTAACTTCATCTTTTTTTGTGCCTGTAGCACCTGCAGGAAAGCACTCTTCTTATTCTGCCCATGTGATGACATTAACCTTCCAGCTTCTCTCGGCAGATGTTCTTTGGGTGCCCACTGTGAACAGAGCCCTGACTGCCTGGGTGTGAATGCCATATCTCCTCTTCCTGCTTTTTCACCTGCAGAGACATTGTTGAGCTTCAGTTTTCTCACCTTTAAAATGGATGTAAGAACACTGTGGTGGGGGGAAGGAATAGAAGCACTGCTTTGAAGGTGAAGGAATTAGTAGCTGTAAAGCAGTGCTTGACACAGTAAATGCTCGAGCTAGTCATACAGTGTCCCTTCTATTAGATGATCAGCTTGAGAGTAAGGCCTGGGTCCAGGTTACAGGTACCTCCCACAGTGCCACCTGGTGCAGAGAGTGGCTCTATGGTCATCCTACTCATCCTCAAAGTTTTTGCACACAGTAGGTCTGTAATTGATGTTCAACAATTGCATTGGTCTGGGAGCAGCTCCACTGGGTTGAGTAAATACTCACAAGTCGGATTAAAGGAGTATGTCAGTGGAGGAGATTGGTATAGTGGAATTACAGAACATGTTGAGCTTTCCAGTGCTTTCTGCAGGTAAATACTGTTTCCTAAGTTGAATTCATTTGCCCATAGTTCCCTGGTCGGAAGGGAATTGCTTTGAGGTGAGAGTCCCTTGGACAGCAAGGAGATCCAACCATTCCAGACTAAAGGAAAATAGTCCTGAATATTCATTGGAAGGACTGATGTTGAAGCTGAAACTCCAATACTTTGGCCACCTGATGCGAAGAACTGACTCACTAGAAAAGACCCAGGTGCTGGGAAAGAGTGAAGGCGGGAGGAGAAGGGGATGACAGAGGATGAGATGGTAGGATGGCATCACTGACTCAATGGACGAGTTTGAGTAAGCTCCGGGAATTGGTGATGAACAGGGAAGCCTGGTGTGCTGCAGTCCATGGGGTCGCAAAGAGTTGGACACGACTGAGCAACTGAACTGAACTGAGATGAAGTTCCCTGCTCACCTCCCACCCAGATTAGGAGAATGGAAGGGTGCAAACTGGAAGTTCAGGAGAGACTCCCCTGGGGGCCACAGTAGGGTGGGACCAAGTTTGAAAGTTTGAGAGTCCGGCCCCAAGAAATTCAGAGTTCTTCATCCTCTCTCAAAGTTGCATTTGAAACTTTTTTTTAAAAATTGTCCAGCCATGCAGCTTGTGGGATCTTAGTTCCCCAGCCAGGGATTGAACCCCTTGGTAATGAAATCGCAGAGCCCTAACCACTGGACCCACGGGGAATTCCCTATAACCATTCTTGACCACTCTAATACTAAAATTGTTTGAACCTAAGAGGAATGAGTTGAGCTTGTGCACGTTTTCTAACATCATGAGTCCCTTTGGCCTTGAGAAAGACATTCCCACTCCCCTAGGTCAGGAGACAAAGAGACAAAGTTGCATTTGGTCTGGGGCTTCTGGCTTTGTTGGGTGACAGCACTGATGGACTCAGACTTGGGAGAACCTTCAGGGCAAACTCCTGAAAGCCTGTCTGACTATAAACTGTTTATTTTTTTGATGTCCTGAGCCTGGTGACACAACTAGTCAAAGTCTTTCATTTCTGTCTCTAACCCCCTTTCCTCTCCAAAATTAAAGGATATTTTCCTCTCATTCAGATGCCCCGTCTTCTGGAATGGTTCATTTTTTGAAAGAACATTTTATCTTCTTTTTGAAAATTTGTTTATTTTTAATTGAAGGATAATTCCTTTACAATATTGTGTTCATTTCTCCCATATATCAACATGAATCAGCCATAGATATACATATGTCTCCTCCCTCTGGGACCTCCCTCCCACTCCTCTAGGTTGTCACAGAGTACCAGGTTGAGCTCCCTACATCATACGGCTAATTCCTATTGGCTATCTATTTTATGTATGTTAATATATATGTTTCCATGCCTCTCTCTCAATTCGTCCCACCCTCTCCTTTCCCCACTGTGCTACAAGTCTGTTCTCTATGTCTGCATTTCCATTGCTGCCCATATAGGTTCATCAGTACCATCTTTCTAGATGCCACATATATGCATTAATATACAATATTTGTTTTTCTTTTTATGATGCCACTCTGTATAACAGGCTCTAGGTTCATCCACCTCATTAGAACTGATTCAAATGCATTCTTTTTTTATGGCCGAGTAATATTCCATTGTATATATGTACCACAACTTCTTTATCCATTCATCTGTTGACAGGCATCTAGGTTGCTTCCATGTCCTGGCTATTGTAAATAGTGCTGCAATGAACATTGGGGTACACGTGTCTTTTTCAGTTATGGTTTCCTCAGAGTATATGCCCAGTAATAGGATTGTTGGGTCATATGGTAGTTTTGGGCATCCTTGGTAGCTCAGCTGGTAAAGAATCCATTCCTAGTTTATTTAAGGGCTCTCCATACTGTTCTCCACAGTGACATTTTGCCTTCTCTATTAGCTGTACTGATTGACTTACACAACAGAAGGAATTTCAGGGCTGAATCAGGTAGGTGAGAG